AAATCAAGAAAATTGATGCTAACACTTCTAGAATAGCTTCCATGAAAGGTGAGTCATCATCTTTTCCAAAGAATGCCCATGAACGCTGAAGCTACAAATCAACAAAACCCAGCAAGAATTTTCCTCCTCTGTTCCTCCTCTGTTCCTTCTCTTTTTCTCTTTCATGTTCTCAAACCAGTTTTAGAGAAAAGAAAGAAAGAAAGAAAATAAATAAAATCCAAAACGACGTCGTTTTGGAATTTCAGGACACTCGAGCCTTGGAGATTTCGAGCTACGAAGCTTCATTTTATTATTTTATACCCATTATTTAAATAAAATACAAAACGACGTCGTTTTGGAATTTCGGGACACTCGAGCCTTAGAGATTTCGAGCTACAAAGCTTCATTTTATTATTTTATACCCATTATTTCAAGCGGATAATATTTTATGTTTGGAGGGTGAGCAAACAAAAAATGATATTTTATATTTAGGGAAGGGTTTACTTCACCCTAAACGTAGGTAAAATACATTCCCCAAAATAGGGTGTAGGGTTTAGGATATCTATTGATATTTTAGATTTTGGCACTTGAAAATAAGAGGGGGGGGGGAATGTGTTTAGGGTGGATGTGCTAAATCTTTAAGGCTTCGTTTGGGAAGCCATGGTTTGAGCTTTTTTGACTATTTTAGCCACAAAAAACAAAATAGGCTATTTTAGCCATAACAAACAAAACATCACATCCAACCCATAATCATTACATTCTTCTCTCACAAAAAAACTCAAAAAAGTCAAAAAGTCAAAAAGCACTTCCCAAACTAAGCTTTTAAGCCCAGGCTAAAATAGCCAAAAAACCAAAAAGCCAACCCACTTCCCAAACGGAGGCTAAATAGAAAAAACACTTTTTGATATACTTTTGTTAACTAAAATAGCTAATAATGTTGAAAATACTTTAAAGACAACACACACACCAAAAAATAAACGCGCGCCCGGGGGGGGGAATGTGTTTAGGGTGGATGCGCTAAATCTTTAAATAGAAAAAACACTTTTTGATATACTTTTGTTAACTAAAATAGCTAATAATGTCAAAAATACTTTAAAGACAACACACACCAAAAAATAAATAAAAAAAGACATAGAGTAAAACCTAAAACATGACCAACCTAAATCAAAACAAACCATTTAGTTACAAATTGGCTTGATAAACTCTTTAGCTTGAAGCTTACTTTGTGTGATATGATGACCTTTGACACCACATTTATCTTTTGACAAGGCTCACAAAATGGAGTAATCCACATAATTTATTTTCTATTCATATTAATGTGTATATATATTGCATTAATGGTTTTTGTTTTCAGAATTCTATATAGTGTTTCTTTGTTTGGTTTGTTAAATTAAAAATAAAAAGATCATTGATTCATTTCTTAATGAGAGCAAACAATAGAAATATGTCACATCACTTCTAAGAATTAGGCTTCTTTTCTTTTTTTTTTTTTGGGTAAGTAATATTTGGCCATTTCTTTTAAAGCAAATGGTCACATTTTTTCTGTTCTTATTTTCTCCAAACACATGAAACTATATGAACAGATAGGCAATGGGATTTGAACATAGAGTTTTTATCTGTTCCATATTGTATTTTTTTGGGTGAATAAATTATGTATCGTATTGAATTGCTAGTTGCCTCAAACTGTTAATTGACCTAACTATGCTGCTGTTTGGCAAGTTGGTTTGGAGTGAGTTGGGACAAGTACAAAAAGACAAATTAATAAGTCAATAACATAAAATATCACACTTTTAAATTATAATCATTTAATTTTTTCTCTCACAAAAGTCAAAAATGCCAAAAAATCTATTCCAAACTAAACTTTTTAGTCCCAAATTAAAATAGTCAAAAAATTAAAAATTTAAAAAACCAACCCACATACCTCATAATTTTTATCTTTTCCTACTATGTAGAAAACTATACAGGCAGTTGCAACTAATTACTCCCTTTGAGTGCAAATTCTATTTTTTCGTTTAGTTTTATGTTTAATTGTCGAAATACACGTTTGAGAAGTGGGTTGACTTTTTAGTTTTTTGATTTTTTTGACTATTTTGGTCTAGGGTTAAAAATCTTAGTTTGGGAAAAGCTTTTGCCTTTTTTGATTTTTTTTTAGAGAAATAATATAATAATTATGAGTTGGACGTGATATTTTATTTTATTGGACTAAAAAATCTATTTTATTTTTTTGTAGTTATTTTAGCCAAAAAAACTTCAAAACTAACTTCCCAAACGAAAACTATATATGAGAAAGATCATAGATATGTTTTTATTATTTACTCACGATAAGAATATAATTCATACATAAGATTCTTGTAATTACACTTTCACTTCCATCGTGAATAAGTGATAAAAAGTATAGTAAAAAATAGTACGTCTTTTTTTTTGCGTCAAAAAATAATATGTCTATAGTTGAACTTTATAAATTATTACATCATTATTTTTATTTTTATACATATTTTTTTTATAAAAAATTAAAAAAATATTAAAATAATTTATTCTCAAACTTTAACCATGTGGCTATGTTTTTGGGTGGATAGCGTCATTGGATGGGCCCTATGGTATAGCCCTCCCTAACAGTGGATCCTTGATCAAATCCATGGCCAGCCCTATCTCTAGGTTCCCAATTCCCAAACCAAATTGATTATGAGCATTGAATTTTCCTCACCAAAAACCCACAATTAGACAACCTGTGGGCTATAGCAAAAGTATTAGAAATTTTAAAAATTTTGTCAAAAATTTTATCAAAAATTTTATATAAATATGTGATTTATATGAATCTCCCACATATATAAAATATTTAGTTAAAGTTTTAATGAAATTTTTAGCATTACTCGGACTATAACTAAAGTGGATGAGGGTTATTCTAGCCGAGCTTGTCTCCACTTCAAATCCCTTAAGGAATACTGGTCACATCTGATTAATTGTTTAATTTTAGGGCAAATTACATATATTTTCTTTGAGGTTTAGTTAAATTATAGATATTTTTGAGGTTTCAGAAATTACAGATATCTTTCTGAGGTTTATATTTTCATAACAATGTACCCCTTAATTTGTTATGCAAATATAACTTTCAAGGGATATCTGTAATTTCTCAAACTATAGGGGTATCTGTAATTTTATTAAACCTCGAGGGGTATATGTAATTTGCCCTTAATTTATCTATCTACTGACACGTCTAATATTAGGCTTAGGCCTCATTTGACAAGTGATTTTTTTAGCTAAAAAGTCACTAAAAAAATCAAAAAATCAACAACTTATATCAAAAAGTCAAAGCTTCTATTTTTTTCTACTTTTTGCACATTTTTTCATAAAAAGTAAAAAGTCATCACAAACATACTAATTTTTTTTACATCATATTTTAGCCAAAAAATCAAAAAGTTACCAAAAAAACCTGTTTTCAAATGAGACCTTAGGATCAATTTGAGAACAAAATTAAGTCAAGTCAAAAAAAAAAAAAATTGACTTTTAACTTATTTTGCGTCATATTATATTTTATTTTTTTATATATTTTTTTTATAAAAAATTTAAAAAATTAATTTTTAATTAACTTCTCAAAATAACTCTTTAAGTAGTAAAAAAAAAAATCTAACCCAATATTAAGTTATGGACAGACAAAATTTGAGGGATTGTTTAGTTTGTATTTTAAAATATAATTTTTGAAAAAAAAATTAAAATTTTGTTTGGTTCAATTTTTTTAATTTTTATTTTAAAATCACTCTCTTATACATCAATCAATCACTTTTTCTCTCTTCTCTCTCCTTCTTAATCACTTTTTCTATTGCACACAACTACTCAATTATAACAAAATATCAAATTATCTCAAATTTTAAAACTTTATATTTTCATAACAATGTACCCCTTAATTTGTTATGCAAATATAACTTTCAGGGAGATATCTGTAATTTCTCAAACTATAGGGGTATCTGTAATTTTATTAAACCTCGAGGGGTATATGTAATTTGCCCTTAATTTATCTATCTACTGACACGTCTAATATTAGGCTTAGGCCTCATTTGACAAGTGATTTTTTTAGCTAAAAAGTCACTAAAAAAATCAAAAAATCAACAACTTATATAAAAAAGTCAAAGCTTCTATTTTTTTCTACTTTTTGCACATTTTTTCATAAAAAGTAAAAAGTCATCACAAATATACTAATTTTTTTTACATCATATTTTAGCCAAAAAATCAAAAAGTTACCAAAAAAACCTGTTTCCAAATGAGACCTTAGGATCAATTTGAGAACAAAATTAAGTCAAGTCAAAAAAAAAAAAATTTGACTTTTAACTTATTTTGCGTCATATTATATTTTATTTTTTTATATATTTTTTTTATAAAAAATTTAAAAAATTAATTTTTAATTAACTTCTCAAAATAACTCTTTAAGTAGTAAAAAAAAAAATCTAACCCAATATTAAGTTATGGACAGACAAAATTTGAGGGATTGTTTAGTTTGTATTTTAAAATATAATTTTTGAAAAAAAAATTAAAATTTTGTTTGGTTCAATTTTTTTGATTTTTATTTTAAAATCACTCTCTTATACATCAATCAATCACTTTTTCTCTCTTCTCTCTCCTTCTTAATCACTTTTTCTATTGCACACATCTACTCAATTATAACAAAATATCAAATTATCTCAAATTTTAAAACTATTTTTAAAATATACAATTAAATAAATCAAAATAATTTCTAAATTCTCTCCTTAAATTTTTTTTAAAAAAAATTTACCTCAAAATACAAGCCAATTCACCATAAAAAACTCAATTTTCAAAAAACTTAATCCAAAAAACTCAAACCAAACACAGTGATTAATATTTATTTTCAGAGTTTAATAATTAGGAGATTAGCAAGGTGGTACGCTCAGAGGGAAAACTCCACGCAATTAGCCTCGGTTACTATCACGATTTTCAAATAATCAACTTTTTTTTAATTTATTTAAATTATTTTTATCTAATAAACTATAAACAAAAATTGTAGCAAACAGTTCAACACAAATTCCCAAATCAAAATAAACTATTATCACCGGTAACAAACAGTCCCAATATGTTCATATAACAACAATCTCCTATTCCTAAATGACATGAAAATGACAAGAACATTAAAAAAAAAAAAATTTAAAAGGCACAACCACTGGTTTTTATGTGCCTTTTCTTCCCAACCTACAGTTTATTTTCTGTTTTTCTTCTATTCACAAGCCAGCTTGGTATCAAAGCTGCTCAAGCAGATTGCAAAAGCCTGAAATGCCGATAGCGGATACCGATAATCCATCGTAAACATGTCTTTGCCAACCTTACCAAACTGCAAAATGATCTTGTCGTGCTCAGATTGGGCTGGCTGAGAGCCTGTTGGTGCACCCGAGGCTGCCGGTGGCTGCATGGCAGCAATTAACTGAAAGTTCTTGACTGATGCAACAGTAACACGCCCTCGGAAATTCAAACACCAACATTGCAACTGTTCGTGCCATCTCGGGGCCTTGTTCTTAAGAATCAAGGGCTTTGCTTTCCCATCTTCGTCCTCATTACACAAACTGCTGGTGCCAATTTCAGAAAATCTCGAGCTGCTGAACTCTGTCGAGAACGAAATGCTCCGAAACGAGTCCTCAAGGGAGCGGGGAACAAGCTCTGGTTGGCCGGGCACGATGCCGCCAGCGTCGAGTGATGAAGCAGGGATCGAGTGCATGATGCAGTGCATCCTTCGCGGGCCCCGCGTCCCTAACACATTCAGCTCATATGTGATCTGGGCTATGTTGTAGCTACCGGTTGGGACTTTAGGGGATACTTTTTTGGAATAGAATCTACGGCTGGTTCGTCCTGGCTGGGGTACATTGGCACCGGTATATGGAGGCTGTGTGTCATACATTATGAATTTTGTGCCGAGAAAATTTGACCTGAAACAAGTAAATAAAGTTCAAATCAATAATGAAACCATGACACTAAAGCTAACAAGCACAGACACGGATATGGCCAGATGCAAACACAAACACAGATGCAGACATGGTGATTTTAAAAAAATGAGCATACGGACACGACAGAGACACAATAATAAAATATATTTTTATTTGCTATCTAGATTAATATTGCATTTACAAACAATCAATATTAACAAAAACTAACTTTAACTCTATTTTTTTAAAAAAGTACTTTTAAATTAACACTTACAGTTTATATATATATATATTTTTTATCCATGATCTATTAAGTATTTAAATCTAAGAAAAAAAATAATAAACATTCAACATTCATCAAAAGTACTAAATAAAATAGGAAAAAAAAACAACTTGACATGTCTCTAGTGTGTTCCTGAAGTGTCCCTTGAAAATAAATTAGTTAAATAAGGGGGGCAAGTCATTTGGTGTGTCCCATACGTGTCCCCGAAGTGTCCGTGTGTCTGACACAGATACAACACTCGTTTCAAAGTGTCGGTGCTTCATAGCACTAAAGCTTAAAATAAATAGAATCCATTTCGTTGTTACCTCAACTTTCCAATATAAGTGCTGCTGGATCTCGAAATGTTATCAGCATCCATTGAAATAACATACTCTGTGCAAGTAGTTCGTCGAGTTCTCTTTGCACAAAGAAGGAATTTCCCATTTTCAACTAGCAAAGCTGCAAAAATTGGAATCAGAACATGAAAACCAGCAGTACTTTCAGTAGTCACATATGAAATTCCAAACAATGAATCATTCTTGATTCATAGTATTTAAAGCTGATTGCTCATCAAAAACTAAGGCGGCAGCTGATTTACTTATCCAATAGCCGCACATGAATAGATTGATGAAAACAAACGTGAAAAAAAAAAAGTACTATTAGGGATAGAATATCTGGATGAAAAAAGAAAAGAAGATGCTAAGCACAAACCACAAGCTCAGAATACAAAACCGCCTAACTGACAAACAACTTTCACCCATAAGTTCAGTTTGCAAACTCAATAGCTAAACTACAAATGCAGTCATATTTGATCCTTTAACCAATTAGATTTCGACAGACAGGGCAAAGTTGGCAGTGACAGAAACTTTGTGAACATGAGAAATATTTAGAAGAACTAACTGAAACACCTGGGCATTCAATTCATCACGAGTGAAGAAGAGAATTATCATTGAATAATATACAGAATTCAGCAACATCCGAAAGGAAATGTAATTTTTAGCAATGGACACATGGAAGCCTGAAAATGCCTTCCATGTCATAGCTAAGTAAAAGCTTGGATCACATATTGCACCAAATTGAAGCTTTTCTCAGGCATTCTAGAACACTAAATATATATTCCTTTATCATAGAAAGGTTGAAGGTGCTTGCTAAACAATAAAAACACAGCCGTCTAATCCACATCAAGAAAGACTCATGTTTGATGCAGCTACAAGACCAGTATTTGTCAATGAAAAAATGAATGGTCTATTTTCAAAAATATATTTGTTGTCCATTTTTTTCGAAGACAAATGCGAAAAAATGAAAATATTACGATTATTGAATTAAACCAATTTTTTTTCATGGATGATACACATAGAGGGCCCTACAAAATGAACAGTTCAAATTATCGAAACGGGACCCGTAGTGAGCCCCATGTGCCCCTCAAGCTGTGTTACATGGACTCGGCACTTTGGGGCGAAGTACCCATGTCGACACGACACGAGTGCAAGTGTGGGATCTGTGTCGGATTCGCCTATTCTCTCTCGGACACGGCTCTTTACAGACAACAAAAGAAATGAAAGAGGAGAGAGCAAGAGAGAACTTGGTCGAAACTCCATCCAGTCGATCCAGTTGAAGCTCCATCCAGTCGAAGATCAAAGACCTCCAGTCGAAGCTCCATCCGGTCGATCCAGTCGAAGATCGAAGCTCCATCAGTGGATCAAACAGTCGAACACCCTAGACGACTTCGAAAAGCCTCTCTCTCCCTCTCTCGCCTTCTCTCTCTCCCTCGCGATCGCCGCGATCGATCGCTTTGCTTTTATTCCATAGTCGATTCCAAGAGATTAGGGCTAAACAGATTAGGGCAAATTTGATCTGCTTTTGGTTATTTTCAAATTGACCCCAAAATTTTTTATTAAACTGTGAAATTGCCCCCGCGCGTGTCCCAAACGTGTCTATAACGTGTCCAAAACATGTCCGGATGTAAAAAAATTAAAAAAAAATTGGGACACTCTCTCATGCGTGTCGGACCCATGTCCACTGCGTGTCCGACGCGTGTCCGTGTCCGACACGTGTCTGACACTGGTACGCAGCCCTCGGAGAGGTGTCCGTGCTTCATAGTATATATACATTAATAAAATAAATAAATACATGTATGCAAAATAAAATAAAAAAATTAATTGGAACACAAAACTATTATTTTTATTTGTTATTTATATAATATAACTCATCTTCATATAATAAATATATTTTGTTTTAAAAAACTATTTAACGTATCCCCGTACCCATATCTAAATTTGGATACATATCTATGTATCCTTAATTTTTAATTTTGAAGTGTCCGACCCCTAGATACGCACCTGCACCCGATACCCATACCTAAGTCCGTGTAACACAGCCCTCAAGTTCTCGCATGTTGAGATGTGAATAAGAGAGAAGCCCAACCCTTATTTGTACTCCCTCTAGCCCTATTTCAAGCATGTATTAATTAACATCACCATCATTTGATTTTTCTTTTTTTCCTAAAAAATTAGTTAAGAATAATATTTTAGATATAAGATCATTACATGACTTGGTGCATACATCATAGCCAAAGTATAACCAATGTTATTTCTCCAGGTGCCTCTTACACTTCATGACATCAATTGTTAAAGCCATAATTGCCACAAACAAAATCAAACAGTATAACTCCATGCATCTCCATGAGTGACTGTTTACTCAATAATTGACCTAGCACATAAACAGACCACTGCTAAATATGCGAATGAACTTTCTTTTTCTTTTTTTTTTTATACAAAAATGCACAAACCACTATCATACTGTGGGTGTTTGGGAAGTGGGTTTTTATGTAGGTTTTTTTAGTTGTAGGATATTATTGGATAAAAAAATTTGAGTATTTGGGAAGATAGCTGGTTTTTTTTGTGGTTGGATGTGATGTTTGTGAGAGAAAAAGTGAAATGATTATGGGATTAGATGTGATATTTTGTTTGGATTTGTTTTTTTTTTATTTTACAAAAAGTTTGTCTTTTAGTGTAAAAAATAATAAAAAAAAAACCAATCCATAAACTTCCCAAACACCACCATATGAGACTGACTTAATAAAGCAAACATATAAAGAAAATTAACAGAGCCACCCAATTTCAACAAACTTGAGCCTATCAAAGGGCTTGAGCAAAACTCTTACCAGGGCTAAGACATAGGAAAAGATGGTATGTCAAATTAGATTTATCCCTTTTGATGAAGCACTGTATAGCTCCATCACGAAATCCCGGCTGGAAAGGAAATGAGGATAAAGTCAAGTAATTGTTCTCACAAACATTGCATAACAGATAGAACATACAACATCGAGATTTATGTGTAATGAAATGACATTGAAATAGAACACAAGGTGTCACATTAACTCGTGAGCATAAAAGAAAACCATAAACACCCTACCTGCTTCAGGGAAACTGGAAAAGTAAGCCTCCCACAAAATTCGGGACTTCTAACAATTTCTTTGCACATACTCCTCCATGATCTGCAAACAGCAGCACAAGCGACAACATGTTTTCGAGCAGGCCACGTACTCTCGCTCTCCTCCAATCTTTTAATTACATCACAAAGTAGCTCTTGAGGGAGGTTGGCCCAGCAACTGCTCTGAATTACCAGAGGCTGGTCATTCAACTCGTGAAACGAACCATGCGACTTTCCTCTGTGATGACCAGACAGCCTTACATCAAAACTCCTGCGTGATAAGCTCCCGAAACCATCTCTTACATCACGAACTATGCTGCGAAACGACATTTGACCCTTAACTAATATGTGGCAACGCGAAATACAAGAACAATTTGCCTCTCTTTCTTCCAATAAATTAGATTCTACTTATCATGTGAATATGGCTGCAAAAGAGCAAAAGAACAAAGGCAAATCAGATTTCTCTCTCCACAAAAATAAATAGGCAAGAATAAAAGAAAAGGAAGAAAAGAGAAAAAGGCACTCCAAGAAAAGAAAAGTAAAGAAGAGATAAGAAAAGAGATGAGTAGAAAAGGACAGCTTCACATGGACCTTTAAAGTGACCTAAATTACTAACTTTTGTTAAACAAAACTTTATTATGTTCTTAAACCTGACTTCAATCCATATCAAACTTAGTTCCTACAATAAGATTCATAGTATAAAATCTTCAGAAACCATTTAACTAAAATTAAATCCATTTGGACATAATTTGGATTTATCACTATATCGACATTGGTGCAAACCACACTAGAGAAGAATCCTAAGCAAAAGACACAGGACTAACAAATAACCCTCAAAACTACTCAAAATCAACACTAATTAGGGGTATCTTCAAGAATACTTTATAAACTTTTTTGACTTTACACTGGTGGCTCACCTAAAGCAAAAAGATCAGATACAAGCACGACACAACATTTCCCACCTAAAATCCAAGCAAATGATTGAAAATCTTGCAAGCATGGGAAAAACAAACCCACATCTAGATTTTGAAAATATGTATTAAAAATTTGCTACAGTTGTAAGGCAAGAGAATTAAGTCAATTATCATCGAAAATCACGTCCGAGATGGTCCACCATTCCAAAATGCATAAAGCAGGCCCGGATGCTAACCTAAATCCAGAACATGAGCACAGCCATTGAAACTTCAAAATGTGGGTCTGCTCCTTATATTGTTCATTTACTTTAGTACTATGTTCCCTTCAGAAATAATTTTTTTCTTTGGCACTTCTTTTTAATCAGTCAATGTATTGTGCAGCTAGTCTGAAAATGAATTGACTCTATTAGTATATTTTAGCAAACAATATGTATTGGAATATATGTATGCAAGCAAACCTATCTTATGCATCAATAAAAAAAACTAACCTGCCCGGAAAAAATAGAGTGATGAATAAGACACAGCTGATCAAAGCTCCTGAGCTTCTTCTATAGAGATCTGCAAGAACCACAAAACGAATTTTTTTTTAAATAAAATTTTTACCCAAAAAAATAAAAATAAATAAAACCCAGCTCAGAAATCAGGGAAAAAAACAAAAACAACTTGCCCAAAATTTCTCACTCCAAAACCCAGGAAAAAAGGCCCAAAAAATAGAAATCTAACAGAACAAGAAAGGGAAAACTTCAACTTGAATTTGGCATATAAACAAACATGCAATATACACAAATAAATCCAAATATACATACACACAAGATTTGAAGGTAGAGAAAGTGAAGAGATTGGAGATCTGTACCTCAAGCTAAAGAGAAACTGGAAAAAGAAGTAAATGTATATATGGGATTGTAAATGGGTAAGTGTATATTCAGAGATCTTTCAACTTTTTCAACATAACAGATCAGAAAAGGATGTGTTCAGAGACACAAATCAACTCCTCCTCTCCTCCTCCTCTCCCTCTCTCACATCCGGACTTGAAGCGAAGACTTAAATCTAGTTCAACGAAGCAGCGTGGAGAAAAGAAGAAAAAAGGGGTGACAATACAATAATAATATTTATATATTATATAAAAATGATGTAATGAATATGGTGGTGTTTTGAAAAGTTAATAAAAATTTGATTTTTTTAATTTTTTTTTATTTTTTATTTTTTTATGTTTTTTAAATAAAAAAATAATATCACCTAAAAAAATCAAAAAAATTAAAGAACTGACTTTTTTATAGGCTTGTAATTGAGATTGGTATGTATAAATTTTGAAATATAGATTTAAGATACAAGAGCAAAAGCTGGGTAGGGTTACTAGGGTAATAGGGGGTAGACAGAGTAAAGTAAAGCGAAGCAAACAATAACAACAGTGTAACCAAACGTGGCTGTTCCTGTCTGACCTGTCCTGTTTAGAAATTTCTAGCTCCTCTGACTAATGGAAGTTGCAGAGAAAAAAAAGGATAACAAGATACAACCGTGATTGGTACGGATTATAGAATTATTAATAAATTGTTTTTAGGGATGATAGGACTTGGTTGGTTTGTATTTGAAAAAGTTTTTTTAAAAAAAAATCAAAATTCTGTTTGGTTTTTGATTTTTTTTTTTAAATTTAAAAATTATTTTTTTTCTCTCATACATTAATTAATTTTTTTTTTTTCTTTTCTCTCTTTCTCAATCATTTTTTCTCTCACCTACATCTACTTAATTAAAATAAAATATCAAATTATCTCAAACTCTCAAATTACTTTCAAAATATACAACTAAACAAATTAAAAAAAATTTTAAATTCTCTCTCCAAATTTTATTTTAAAAATTACTCTCTTCAAAATAAACCAAACACACCTTTTTGTTATTTGCACCTGGGCCTTCCCCACCTGCAATCAGAAAACACACCATGTATAAGTGTGAGATAAATATTTATAAATTATATATGAACAATTTATATTTATGTCATAATGTCATATTTTGTGAAAAAAAAAATTTAAAATTAGTAAAACATTCCTTTTCTGTACACAATACACAAATATGAAATAAGATATTCACAATTACAAATGCAAACATTTTGAGTTACATTTGTACCTCATTTTTGTTAAAAAAAAAAAGAGGCTCTAATGGTGTTTGATGCATCATATTTTTGATTTTTCTGAATGCCACTATAGTTGATATATATGTAAAAATTATATTAGTAGTGATGATACTACTTGTCCCTGAGAAACGGGACAGGCTGATCCATGCCTCCCACATCGTTCTCCGATTGCTGGGTCCACTAAGAAACCTGCACAAGAGTCTAACGGGAAACGAGAGTTCCCCAGCGAACCCTCCGACGAGCAAGTTAGAGAAGAGAGACTAACGGAATATAGAAATAGAATAGAGATAAAGAACTTAACCTTCTCTTTATTTTAAAAACCTGTTTATATCATTTGTTCATCATTTCTTTATCCACTCCGACCTGTCATGTTGGCCGAAAGTCTATATTCTAGTTTGCCTTGTTCATGGTAAGGCTGTTCTATTCCGACGTGAAGAGGTTATCGTAATAAATGCTGCAGGGAACCTCATTAATGGCTGATGTGTGGTGCAATAACTCTACAGAATCTTTGTCTGCTTATGTGACTGGTTCTTCTCTTGACAAGTGTTTAGATGTCATTGGTTCTTGGTGCAACGTTGGATTCCAATGATGTTGGACTTTAGTGTTTGAATCATGCATTGGGCTTTAAGTGGTGGGCCAAAAGCCCCTATGGGCCCACCTATGTCAAGTAGGAGGATGAGACTCAAAACTGGGAACATGGGTTTGATTGCAATTACTGTTTGAATAACGCATACTCTGTATACATTTCTCTTTAGAGATAAGCTCCCCTCACTTTAATCTCTCCATACCTTTCCATATTCTTCTTGCAAGCCTCAATTTGGACTTGCACCGATAATCTGAACCATCTATCTCGTAAATTTTGCAATAAAGGTCGTCCATACAAAAAAATAAACTTTATCTAAAAATTATAAACTTAGGAAAAATTTGCATTTTATTTTATAAAATGAATGACAAATGTTATTGTAAACTTAAACCATCCATTTTCTAAAATATAATATTTTTAGTTTATGTATTTATAATTTTCCGATAAAACTTATTTTTTACATGTATAACTTTTATTACAAAATTTACGAGATAGACGGTTTGAATTATCAGTGCAGATCCAAATTGTGGCCTACAAGAGGGGTATAGAGATGTATAAATAGATGAATTTATGGGGGAGAGTCTATCCCTTCTTGTTATTATTATCTTATAATATTATCTTTTTTCGAATTCCAGTATACATGCTAGTTCGGGGAGAGCCTAAAAATGTCAAAAAATAAAAAAGTCATACAAATTGTCATGCTACTCTCTTCAATTTTTTGTTTTTTTTTTTAATAAAAAGTCAAAAAATAAAAAAATCCCAAACCACTAAATACTCACCAAATGCTCCATTTCAGTTGAAAATTATGAGAATATCAATAAATGGAGTAATTTTTGTATGCGGTAGGATATATGCCATGCGGTGTTTTTTATTATTGTGATTGACTTTGATAGTAAAATTTACTATATTTATGTTGGTATTTGAAAAATAATAGGAAGCATATATATTTGTGGTTTGTGAAATGTAATTCTAGTTTTATATTGTTGTAATGGGTATATTTTTTTATAACTAATATTAACTCATTTATTAACAAGTTTAAAAGGAAATTTTTTGAAAATTATATTTTATCTATAAAAGTCCATGTTATGAAAAATATACAATTATTTTTAATTATTGTTAATCAATATTTTTAGAATACTCATTAGGAGACTTTACTTTTTCTATTAATATATTTATTTCAATTAAAAAAAATCCAAAATCAGTTACCACTCTATAATTTTAAAAACATTACTAAAATATTTTGGATTTAATAGAAAAAATATATGGTGTTTTGATCCTTTCGTAATTGAGAGGGTAATTTTTGGTAAAAATTGGGCCGAGCTATGAGATGGGCTTTGTGGCCCAAAGTGCCAAAGACTTGGTGAAAAGGCCGCAATGTTACTCCGGCCCAAGAAAGGCCGCAATGTTACTCCGGCCCAGGAGAGGCAAGGCTACTTCGGCCTAAGAGAGACAAAGTTACTTCGGCACAGTGACTGAAAAAGATACTTCGGCCCGAAGGCAACTTGGAGTTATACCGGTATTGGCGTTAGACCGGCCGAAAGTCATTGGTTCGGTCTAAGACCGTACCATGGGTTCTACATGGAAAGCTGAGATAAGAAAGGGGAAACACAAGGACCGAACTAAGGATGAATTCGGTTTATTCAGTGGCTCTGCATAGCCAAGCTTATTTCGGTCATATAGTAGTTCGGCCAAAGTAAAAACCATCCCACTTGGTTTAAGTAGTGGGGGAGGGTGTAAAAGGATAAGCATTATCCTTAGGAGTATGAATCCTAGGAGGACTCTGCATGGAGAAATACAAGTCCTACTAGGATTGTGCCACGGGAAACTTATAAAAGCTCACAATCATCACCTTGGAGGAGGTAATTGAACACAATCTTTTTGAGAACTTAGAGCTTTGTCTATTTGTCAAGTTTTCTGACTTAGGCATCGGAGAGGTTTCCGGCACACACCCGCCGGCTAGCTCACGTTTGTGTTTTCAGGTGATAAAGCGACGTCGTACGGAGGAGCGTGGACTTGGTCAACAGGATTATACGAGGAGAATTATTTCCTCCCCGTACAATTGGCGCCGTCTGTGGGAACAAACAGACAAGAACAAAAAACCTCTTGACTTAGTTTCTCCTTTTCTCAATCAATGGCACACATTGAAGAACTACCGCAGTCCGCCGTCGACGGACTAACTCCAGAGGGGGGCGCAAGGCGAGAAGGATTACCCTCTGTCCCTCCTATGGCAGATCTGGAGCCCCAACAACATAACTCCAGGAGGAGTGGCAGGGGAAGGCGGAATAGCAGCCCTCGTCACTCTCAGAGTCCTGACAGACAAAGGAGGAGGATTGATCCTCAAGCCCTGGAAGATCGCGTGAAGGAGCAAGATGAACTAATTCGGAAGATGGCGGCGGACATGGAGGCTTTGAAACGCCAGATGAAGGCTAAAGATGTGGCGACAGGAAAGGGGCGCAAGCACAAGACGCCCCCTCGCCACTCAGAGAATCGTAGTAGGAAAACTACACCCTCCCAAGGAGAGAACAGAAGCCTCAGGACAGGCGACACTCATTCCTTATCTTCCAGAACTCGTCACTCCAGGTCTGAGAGGACGAGATCCGAAAGATCATGCACTGAAGGAAGCACGTATTGGCCTTCGCACTCACACCAAACCAGATCTAGACAGACAGAGCTGCCCAGGTCATCCGACTTACGAACCGTGCTCGAAGAGAAAGCACGATGCAAGGAGGATGCCAGGGCACACGATCCACACAGAGTCTCTGCCTTACAACGGTTGGCTCCTCGGACGCATGGAAGCGTCGAGGTTGGAATGCCAATACCGCAACCGGCCTACGAACCAACGGACAAAGCATTGGCAAGACTACAGACTTCGCCGTTTGTTCCAGCAATCAAAAACGCGCCCCTACCATCAGGCTTCCTTCAGCCGAAATTCACTACATATGAAGGGAAGACGGACCCGTATTCACACCTAAGCCACTTTCGCCAAGTCATGGCTGTGTACAGGCGAAACGAGGCCTTAATGTGTATACTCTTCCCATCAAGCCTTGGCGACTTGGGCTTGACTTGGTTCGAGAAGCTCCCACAGGGCAACATAGCCTCCTGGGCCTAATTGGCAGAAGCATTCGTAACAAGGTTTCGAACAAACACTAAAACACCGGTGGAGATAGACCAGTTACTCTCCATCGACATGGGTGAAAAAGAGACCCTCAGATCTTACAACAGTCGCTACTGGGAGACATTCAACCAGATTGGAGACTGCCCCACCAATCTAGCCATTGCACAATATAAAAGAGGCCTACCAGTAGGGAACCGACTAAGGGATTCAATCACAATGACGCCACCCCTCACCATGGAGGCCCTGATGGAG